AGCAAGAAATCCAGCGGGACTTTTTTTTTTAATAAATTTTACAATGGGTCGCAGAATATTTACAAAATTTATTTTAGAAACAGCTTGGAAGCGATTACCTCATTCCAAGGGGTTATTATCAACCATGTATTCATGATTAAAACTACTTTTACGGATTTTATCGCGTTTATTTTTACTTTTTATTTACTTTTATTTTAATTCTCGACGTTTCGGGCGCTTACCAGCACCCATGGTCACGGGGGACTGAGATGACTGACGTCCCGATGTCATTGGTAAACCCGGAGTACCTTCAGCTTTTTTAATTATTTAGTTTATGGTCCGATCTAAAAATGAACTGACTGTTCTTGAGGTCTTGCAGTGGTATACTAAACCCAAGCATACCACTGCAAGACCTCAAGACACAGTCAGTTCATTTTGCATAGATCGGACCATAAACAATAATTAAAAAAGCTGAAGGTACTCCGGGTTTAACAATGACATCGGGACGTCAGTCATCTCAGTCCCCCGTGACCATGGGTGCTGGAAAGAGCCCGAAACGTCGGGAATTAAAAATAAAAGTAAATAAAAAGTAAAAATAAACGCGATAAAATCCGTAAAAGTAGTTTTAATCATATATAGTGTTCGCGTAAATATAAGAAATCATTAACCATGTATTCATTTATATCATAATAACCCTTTTTATACAGTTTTTGTTTAATTAAATATTTAAACTTGGTAATAGAGAGACCTTGTATATTTTCTGGGACTTTATTGTAATAGCATATACATTGCCCCAAGAATGAATTACTGACTCTGTGGAGTCGAGAAATTGGTATCACACAAGCTGATGTGTTTGTATATATATATATATCTTAACGTATATATAATGTATATTCATGTATATATATCGTCAAACTCTCGAAGAACCGATAACCGATGGGGAAGAAAGGTTCTCAAGTGGCAGCCTCGTACCGGTAGGCGTAGTGTAGGGCGACCCCCCACTAGATGGAGTGACGACCTGTTAAGACGTGCAGGAAATCAATGGATGCAGGTGGCTCAGGACCGTGCTTTGTGGCGTTACTTGGGGGAGGCCTATGTTCAGCAGTGGACTTGTAAAGGGCTGTAATGATGATGATGATGATGATATCGACAAAATTATATCTTTACCACATTTTGTGCCCTAGATAAAAAAAACTTTATACCAAAGGCCCCATACTACCGTGCTTTTGACAACCTTGTCGTAGAAATAAGACGATTAAACTAGTTCAGGATTATTGGATGCAGGGCACGTGGGCGGGGCTACAGACAAACAGAGCACTGATGCAAATGACATTCTATTTACGTTTCAACGATTTGTTATAGACAGAATGAATAATGCTTTCGTTTGATGTTATAAAATTTATTTTATTTATTACGTGGTAGAGCCACGTTGTAGCTATATTATTTCTGTAGCACGAATGGGTCGACTTGACCGGGGAAGTACCACGCTTACACAGAATACCAGCGAAAAACAATAGTTCAATGCTGCTGTATTTCGTATGGTGAATGTAGACAACCTAAGACCTATTTTGATATAATCGAGGCATTCTATCTTAGTCCTCTGGAGTGAAAGTGAATCTGCATTTCGATTCTTAATTGAGGATAAATGTAGATATCTGTGGGCCACAGCATCCACTTGCTATCAGCTGGACTGCTTCATCAGTCATTAAAAAATTAATTAATGAATCCATGTATTATCACTTCACAATATAATCCATTTATATTCTTAATGCTAAGTATTAGAGATGTGCCACACTGGTACCTAAGTTGTGAGAGACTAGAGCCGAATACAATCTGGGCCTCTATAAGGCAAGAGTGAATAGCCATTTGTTGCGCTAAGACAGTGCGATTTACCACTTACCACCAGGTAGGATTGTGGTCAAGCACTGGCTTATAACCCTCTCAGAAATGAGGGGAGGCCTGAGCCCAGCAGTGGGACGTATATAGGCTGTAACTTTACTTTTAACTTTTTACTAGCTTATAAAAAGTAAAAAAAGCCTGATGATTGTATAAAACGTGAATTAAAGAGACTCCCCCGCAGCACAGTAACGATCTGTAGAATACAAATCAAAAACAACTCTTGTTTTATAATTATGTAAATGAACAAAATAAACCACGGAAGAAATAACTTAACGTTTCATTTTATATGTTATGTTTAAAATATTTGCCATTTGTAATAAATCACGAGGGAATAATAGTCGCCGTCTAACTCTAAAATAAACCATTCTAAGTCGCCGGTAGAAAATATATATTCTAAAGGAAATATATAAGGAAAATATCTATTAATATAAGATTATTTTTCCGTAGTCATAAAATGTAAAAAATGTTTTCGAGACATCAGCATACAAGTAAAAACGCTAAGACAGTTTAATATACCTCATAAACAAGAAGTAAAATATATTTTAGTCTTGTAAGAGTTATATGTATATATATATATATATATATATATATATATATATATATATATATATATATATATAGTAAGTGGATACCGTGACCCAGAGACATCTAAATTTATCTCAGAGACTCAAAATGCAGATACTTTGTCACCAACCTAACCCCCTAACATCTAGTAAAATTCATGGGCTAATCTGGCCAAGTAATCACTAATTAGGTGATCTTTAGTGATATGTAGCTAGTATTTCACAGTAATATTACGAAGTTGATTTTAATATGCGGTGAAGAAAAATGTGAATTGTTTCATTTACAGCGTGCGGTTAGATGTTGATACTGCAAAAATTTGACGCTATTATAACTTGCCGAGCGATTTGTGGTTTGTGGCAATGTTGGAAAACTTGGCTCAATTTTTGTGTAGAATAAGGGTGACAAGAAAACAGGCAGCCACCTGATAGTCAGCGGTTGCTATGACCTATAGACTTCCACATCTATTCTCAATTAAGATTCAAGACGCAGATACGTTGCCATACCTAAAGACTAAGGTGGAATGCCTTGTTTCCAGTACAAAGGGTCTACAGTTTTCTACACTCAACATCCAAAACACAGCAGCGTTGAGCTGCTGTTTTGATCTAGTGTTCTGTGAGAGCATAGCCTATCTCATATTATACCTTACGTTCGTCCGTGGAACATCTATGCGTAATTTTTAATCCAATAACCGGTATATAAGTGTTTTTGATATGCGAAGACTATAGCATAAGTGACATAAACTGTTTATTGTCATTGTGATATAATAAACTTTGCAGTTAAATAAGGATTTAAAGTGAAAATAACCATAAACATCTTTTGTGCAGTGAGTTATTAGTGACTGGCCTATATTGTTTACTATAACGCGTAAGCTACACGCCTCGCACGGCGCTTAAGCTCTTTTTGACGGGATATTTTGTTGGCTGAGTTAACGATAGTTGTTGACGTAGTTTACATTGTTTTGCGTGCCTACTGTTTTAAATAATCTACCTCTCGTTTAAATAAATACAAAATACTATTATACTATGGATTGCAAAACATGTCTCGTTGTTGTAAAGGAGGAGGACTTAATTAATTGCTCTGTATGTCGTGGCTCATACCATTACGCATGCATAGGATTAAAAGAACTGGATTTTAAGAAAATGTTACCTATGAACAAAATTAAATGGAAGTGTCCACCATGTAAGTCCGAAAAAAAAAGGGTAATAAAAACAGCCCAAATACACCTCGTCCTGAATGCAGCTCATCGCAATCGCAATCTATGATAAACATCGATGCAAATGCTATTATGGAACATTTTGATAAAAGATTTAGTGCGTTACAATCTGCTATAGAATCCCTGAAATCCGACGTTAACGACAGGTTAACAGGAATATCAGCCACTGTTAATTCATGGGAGACTAAAATGAATAGTTTTGCATCATTAATTGCTTCGATAAATGAACAGATTTCCGATCTTAAAGAGGAAAATGATAAATTGAAGCAAGATCTCGACCATCTCCGCTCAAAAGTGACGGATATTTCTGACTGCAATGATCGCAATGAACAATGGGTTCGCCGCTCAAACATACAAATAAACGGGGTCCCTGAGAAAAGGGGTGAAAACCTTTTAAGCCTAGTGAAGTCCCTAGCGCAAAAATGTAATTTTACGATTAATGTAGATAGTGATGTTGATTTCGTAACCCGTGTGGCGGTTAAGAATGATGTGGATAATAAAACGCCGAAGCCGATTATTTTGAAAATGCATTCGAGGTATAAAAAGGATGATTTTCTATCATTGTTACGTAAATTGAAGAACTGTAACGCAAGCGATATTGGTATAACTGGGGCACAGAGTGGCTATAAGATATTTTTCAACGACCATCTTTCGGCAAGAAATAAGTATCTCCTCAAACAAGCGAAGCGAATGGCGAAGGAGAAAGGCTACGTCTACTGCTGGGTCCGTAACTGTACGATCATGGTGCGCCGCAGTGATCAATCGCCAATTATATACATCACGTCTGAACACTCTTTAAACAAAATTGTATAAGTGCTATGGTTGTTTCACACTTTTCTTACTGCTTATTGTTTTTGGCTATTAATGTAACTGAATTATTTTTTAAAATAAGTATTGTGTACACCAGTTGCCAACTTGCTTTTTATAAAACTAACACTGTAGTATTGCTGCGAGCCCAAATATTTTATATTCACGTTGTAAGATTCTATCAACTTGCTTTGGAGCCTGCAATAGACCTACACTTGAAGTGGTTTCTACTTTATTTGAACGTCCTAAACGTAAGAAATTATTTAGTTAAACTTAACATTTACAGTGTTACTTAACATATTCTATCAAAATGCTAGAGGTCTGCGGACGAAAGTTAAACAATTTTATAGAAATATTCTAAACTCAGATTATGATATTATATGCATAAGCGAAACTTGGTTGTTACCAGGAATCTATGATGCAGAGTTATTTGACTCCCGGTATAACGTGTACCGTAACGATCGTGACTATGATAATTTAACTGTTAAAAAAAGGTGGTGGGACCATGATTGCGCTTCGCCGAGAAATAAACGTGAGTATGCAGGGATTACGCAAATTACCTTTAATGTATGATGCTGACGTAACATGTGTTAATATTTTATTGAGTCAGTCACCGAAGACATCAATGTTAAGGCTATTTTGTTGCTACTTCCCCCAAAATGATTATCAAGCGGCATCGGAATTATCGTTTTATGAATATTTATCTGATCTTAAAATTGACTATCCTAATGATAAGTTTTTATTGGTGGGAGACTTTAATATAAGGGTTGCTAGATGGATCTCAAATCCTCAATCTTCAGATAGTAATTTGTATCTTGAGAATCCACATGATAACATATTGACATCGCAACTGTTTGCATTTTTATGCTTTAATGACTGGTCACAATATAATCACGTTAATAATATGAACGACAGACAGTTGGATTTGGTGATTTCTGATTTGAAGTGTATTGTACAAAGAGTCGCGCCGTTGTCATTACCGGAGGATGCCCACCATCCCTCTTTATGTATTGACATAAGTATTGATTATACTTCAAGTCTGTGTCCAGCCACCCGGATAGCACGACGTTTTCATGCGGCGGATTATGATGAAATTAATCGAGAAATGTCAAATATTAATTGGGATGACCATTTAAATCTAAACGATATTGATGTTGCTGTTGATAACTTTTATAAAGTTGTGCGTGATGTGATAAATAGGTTCGTCCCACATAAAGTTGTTAAAAGTAATAATAAATACCCAGTTTGGTTTAATAAGCGTCTAATTAAACTCATTAATAGAAAACATAAACTTCATAAAAAATGGAAAAGTTATGGTAGGCAGTGCGATTATGATAACTTTTCGAATGCACGGCGTGATGTTAAAGAATATGAACTTTATGCTATGAACAATTTATTAATCAAGCTGAGAGAAATATTCGAGTTAACCCCAAGTACTTTAGGTCGTTCATTAAATCAAAGCGAAAAAGCTGTGATATACCTGATACTCTATACTTTGGTGATACACATGCATCGGAGGGTCAGACAATTGCTGATCTATTTAATTCATTCTTCCATTCTGCATTTGAGCCACCCGGCAATAATGTCATGAACTGCGATATGGAAAATAATAATTGTATAATTAATTGTGTTTACATTGATAACGTTAAAGTCGAAAAATATTTGATGAATCTCGATATTAATAAAGGTATTGGCCCTGATGGTATTCACCCTATCTTTCTCAGACAATGCAGTAAACACTTAGCGGCTCCTCTTTCATTACTCTTTAATATATCTTTGAAACAAGGTGTTATGCCCTTGCTTTGGAAACAATCCTTTGTCCCATATTTAAGTGCGGAGACAAACACAATATAGCTAACTACCGTGGTATCTCCATACTATCTGTTATACCTAAGTTATTTGAAAAAATTATATACGACTCTCTATTTCCTGCAATCAAACCGCAAATAGCTTCAGTTCAGCACGGTTTCATATCTGGTAAATCCACAGAAACTAACTTATGCGAGTTTCTGGATGAAACATTGGAGGCTGTGGAAAAAGGCTATCAGGTTGACGCCGTGTATACCGATTTTTCTAAAGCATTTGATAAAATTTCGCACAATCTACTGACTGCTAAACTTGTAAACGTCGGTACACAAGGTGATCTCTTGAGATGGCTAACCTCATATCTGCGTGATAGGTCTCAGGCAGTAGCTGTGAAGGGCTATACCTCGAGCTTTGTCCCGATCACTTCTGGCGTGCCTCAGGGCTCTCACCTCGGTCCTCTTCTTTTTAATATATTTATAAACGATATCATGCGTAGCATTCAACATTCGAAAGCTTTACTATACGCTGATGATACTAAAATATTTACATTCGTTAAGAATCTCGATCACGCTTTCCTATTTCAAAACGATTTAAACAATTTTTATGAATATTGTTCGGCTAATAATCTAAAATTAAATATTAATAAATGTTATACTATATCTTATTCCCGAAAAAAACAACCCATTATTTACAATTATAAATTAAATAATATTTTGATTAAAAGAGTGACCGAGGTGAGGGACCTGGGAGTATATCTCGATGATAAACTAGACTTTGCGTCTCACATTAACAAAGCTACTGCCAAGGCTCATAGAATGTTAGGTTTTGTCTTTCGACAATGCAAGGACTTCAAAAACATAAACACGTATATTATGCTCTATAATTCTTTAGTAAGAAGTCATCTTGAATATGCATCTACGGTGTGGAACCCTATCTATACTACTTACGTGGAACAAGTAGAAAGGATTCAAAATAAGTTTCTGAAGAAAGACTTAGTTATAAATTTAGGGATCATTCTGCGCTACATCATTCATTAGAATTACGGCGTGAACATAGGGATCAGGTGTTCTTGTTTAAACTTTTACATAACTATATAGATTCCCCCCTTTCTTCTAAGTCGTATTTCATTTAGATGCCTTAGGTTAAGTGCTCGCTCCAACGCAGTATTCTCTACTCCTTTTTGTAGAACTAAGTATTCGAAAAATCGGTTTCTGGTCCGTGCTTGCAACACACATAATGAACGATATAACCATATTGATATATTTAACTGCAAACTAAGTGGTTATATTTCATCTATTAAGCAAGTTGATCACGCTTAAGCGTAGTGTGTACCTCTTGTTCTCTCTCTGAATATAAAATTACCTTTACTAACATTGCTATTAGGCATGCATTAAGTATGTTTTTCTCTTTGACAAACACACATTTGTACTTCATTTAAGTATGTCTAAAGTTTTCGCAATGTAATTCTTATCGTTGGAAACTGTTCTGGCTAATGTATTGTTAATATTCACTCTACATTCAAATGTAATATAAGAGCTGTAAGTTTCTTTGAATAAATAAATAAATTTGCGGACCCATTTGTGCTACAACCATCATATCGCTGCAACATGGCTCTACCACGTATAAATAAATTTAAAGTAAGAAAATAAAGGGAAATGGCGGTGTAAGAAATATCCACTACATATATCGTCCCGTGGGTGTCGTAAGAGGTGACAGAGGGTCATTTAAATAAAACCTGGGCAGCGGCATCTTCCTGATAACGACTCAAAATAATACTCGTATAAAAGACTATGGCAACATAATCTCTATGAGGCAATCTATATAAGAGCCCCAAGTTCAGCAGAGGAATTTTATAGGCTGTATGCATAAAAGTAAAATTATATATATACGTCCCACTGCTGGGCACAGGCCTACTTTCATTTCAGTGACTTGGAACAAATTCGCCACGCTAAGGTCTGGCGGACTTCAAACGTAACTTCTTGAAATAATTTATTCCTCGACATCCGAATTTCCACAGGATTTGTTCTACCGCCGAGTTGTTAACTTTTATACGTCCGATAGTTATGCTGCAGGTATATTTTAGTTGTAGCAGGAATGGGTTGACTCGACCGAGGAAGGACCACGCTATCACAAAATATCAGCGTAAAATAGCAGCTTAATGCTGCTGTATTTTCAAGTCAACTGCTGAACATAGACCTCATCCATCGATTGTACGCAAAATGCAGAATGCAATAAAATATATCTAAAATATGTCTTCAAAATAATAGTAAATAAATAAGGCTACGGATTCCTTAATTTCACCTCAATACGGTGTGGTAGCTCAGAGCCGTGGTAGCTCAGATGGTTAACGCTCGCTGTAAATATAACAGAACTAAGTGACCCGGGTTCGAACCCCGCCGGCACCAATAAAATTGTTAATTGCAATTTTAAGTGGTGATTTACCACGTGCTCGGCGGTGAAGGAAAACATCGTGAGGAAACCTGCATGTCTGAGGAATAAGAAAAAAAGTATTTCGAAGACATGTTAAGCTCGCCAACACGCATTGGGGCAGCGCAGCGGACACTTCCTTGCCTTAAAATCGAAATCCTGGGTTCGAATACCGGATCGAGCCAAAAAATCAACTGTTGAGCTTTTCTGTCAAGAAATTCTCAGTAGTTGCCCGAAGTCAGGAAGTTCACGATGTCTCAACGCCCTGCCTCGGAAAGCACGTAAAGCCCGTTGGTCCTGTACCTGATCTCTTAGGTTGTGTCGGGTGACCGTCTCATTTACTATGAGAGCGAGAGAATAGAGAGTGTACTTGTGCTTGCACATACACTTGGTGACTACAACGCTGTTCTAGACATATGGCTAGTCTCCGTTGAGACTGGACGCCATGACCGAAAACCCGGTCTAAAGACCATATTTGTAACACGTAATTTGCTTGATGTATAAGCCATTTGTAGTAAATCATATGCGAATTACCATTGCTGCTCGACTCCAAAATAAATCATTTTTAGTAGCCAGCATGTGTACTTTCAGAAAAATATCTATTCTTATAATATTTTTGCTTCGTAGCAATAAACTTGATAAATGTTTTCCAAACGTCAGAATAAAAGTAAATATGCGCAGAATAGTACATAAATTAGAAGTTAAAATATTTAACGACTCATATAGATAACCGTGCAGTGGTGGTGTAAGAATATACCCTATCCCACATCGTCCCGAGAGTGTCGTAAGGGGGAACAGTAGGAAACAAACCAGCAACATATTTATAATAACAACTGGAGATGAATCTGTAGTTGCCAACCCGCTTGCCAAGCATACAATTAATGAAAATATCTCCCTTAGGTTTCAATCTCATCAATCAAAATAAATTTCTCTCTAGTTCCAGCATTGGACTTTGATGGCTACAATGAATAAGTTAATGAGTAGATAACGTTCAAATTTTCAAATAATACGACTCTTGGTCTACGTAGCAATTCTTCTGAGTAGGTAGCAAGCATCTGCAAGTAAAGAAAGAATAATATTCTTATCTTGTGATATTATTCTTATGATAAATACAAATGTGCATGCCTTAAATGCTCATGTTATACGTCATTTTTTTAAGTATTTGAAATACACACAAATTTTCACAAATAACCTTATTACTAATAGTAAATAATACTTAATTACGTAATTACTTCTAACTTTCTGATAATTTTATGTCAAACGTCAATAAAAAAATTTTGGAAAATTCAAAAGTGTACGACTCATAAATGCTTATATGATCGTAGAAAAAATTCTCAATCAACAATAGATCTTTTTTTTAAGTTTACTATGTTATCATCATTGAGATTCAATTTTTTTTATTATTATTAATTGAAAAAACTTTTAACAGAATTATCTTAAACGATGAGAAATCAACTTTAATATTATTTAAATTTTTAGGTATTTGTACTCCGGTATAACCGTAAAAACTAGTCTTTTTACCTGACTCGTTAATATTTTTTTTCTCATCACCATCATTTCTTTTTGAAGAAGCAATACATGGACATCATTCTTAAATAATAAAACAAAAAAATGAAAAAAAAAACCGAATAATGAATAAATATTACCTGAGCGTAATCCTGCAAAAGCAGCGCTGCTTTTCAGTTGAAGCCTTGTGACTTCATTGACAAGTCGGTGTGTGATCTTCCAGTAACGAATTATATATATATATATATAAAAAAAAAAAAATATGATGTTTTATGATATATCTGAAATCGTTTAACTCAAAATCTATTGATGATCGATCACCATGAAAATTGGTATAAATATTTCTCTGCATCACACCAAGGTAGGCTGGTAGAGAATGCCTTTGGCATTAAGTCCGCCTGTATACCACGTATGTATATGAATTTTTAAATAAATAAATTGTTGCCGCGTTTGTACCTTTGGTGATAACTTCGTTTTCCCATGTCGCCTACTGCGTCACCCACAATAACATAAAAAGTTGCTAGTCCGACTAGGAAAGGTCCTCCATATGAGGTAGTAGATGTTCTCCGATGAAACATACACCATTGAAGTATGTACTATATACTAGAAGAGACTTAGTCGTTTACAACACGTGTTAAAGCCCGCGGGCTCAAAATTAAGTAGTCTATATACCATAAAAGGTACCATATGCTTAATCTTGGCACGTGCCCCACACTACCCAACGGATTTTGTTCGTGATGCCTGTTCTATAACGTGGTATATTATTTCAAAGACTACATTTCCTGAAACATGAAATATGGCATTATAAATGTTAAATTCTTTTATAGCCTTATCCGCGTCTTTTACGAAATT